TGTGTGAGAATGAGAACATGCTGGTCTGTGTGAGAATGAGGACACGCTAGTCTGTGTGAGAATGAGGACATGCTGATCTGTGTGAGAATGAGGACATGCTAGTCTGTGTGAGAATGAGGACACGCTAATTAGTGTGAGGACATGCTGGTCTGTGTGAGGACATGCTGGTCTGTGTGAGAATGAGGACATGCTAGTCTGTGTGAGGACATGCTGGTCTGTGTGAGAATGAGGACATGCTGGTCTGTGTGTGAATGAGGACATGCTAGTCTGTGTGAGAATGAGGACATGCTGGTCTGTGTGAGAATGAGGACATGCTGGTCTGTGTGTGAATGAGGACATGCTAGTCTGTGTGAGAATGAGGACATGCTGGTCTGTGTGAGAATGAGGACATGGTGGTCTGTGTGAGAATGAGGACACGCTAGTCTGTGTGAGAATGAGGACATGCTGGTCTGTGTGAGGACATGCTGGTCTGTGTGAGAATGAGGACACGCTAGTCTGTGTGAGAATGAGAACATGCTGGTCTATATGAAAATGAGAACATGCTGGTCTGTGTGAGAATGAGAACATGCTAGTCTGTGTGAGAATGAGAACATGCTGGTCTGTGTGAGAATGAGAACATGCTGGTCTGTGTGAGAATGAGAACATGCTGGTCTGTGTGAGAATGAGAACATGCTAGTCTGTGTGAGAATGAGAACATGCTGGTCTGTGTGAGAATGAGAACATGCTGGTCTGTGTGAGAATGAGAACATGCTAGTCTGTGTGAGAATGAGGACATGCTGGTCTGTGTGAGGACATGCTGGTCTGTGTGAGAATGAGGACATGCTGGTCTGTGTGAGTGAGGACATGCTGGTCTGTGTGAGAATGAGGACATGCTGGTCTGTGTGAGAATGAGGACATGCTGGTCTGTGTGAGAATGAGGACATGCTGGTCTGTGTGAGAATGAGAACATGCTGTGTGGTGCTGTCTGTGTGAGAAATGTCTGTGTGAACATGCTGGTGCTGGTCTGTGTGACAGAATGAGGACATGCTGGTCTGTGTGAGAATGAGGACATGCTGGTCTGTGTGAGAATGAGAACATGCTGGTCTGTGTGAATATGAGAACATGCTGGTCTGTGTGAGAATGAGAACATGCTGGTCTGTGTGAGGAGGACATGCTGGATCTGTGTGAGAATGAGAACATGCTGGTCTGTGTGAGAATGAGAACATGCTGGTCTGTGTGAGAATGAGGACATGCTGGTCTGTGTGAGAATGAGAACATGGTCTGGACATGCTGGTCTGTGTGAGAATGAGGACATGCTGATCTGTGTGAGAATGAGAACATGCTGGTCTGTGTGAGAATGAAGAACATGCTGGTCTGTGTGTGAGACATGATGCTGATCTGGAACATGCTGGTCTGTGTGAGGACATGCTGGTCTGTGTGAGAGAATGATGACATGCTGGTCTGTGTGAGACACATGATGAGAACATGCTGGTCTGTGTGAGAATGAGGACATGCTGGTCTGTGTGAGAATGAGGACATGCTGGTCTGTGTGAGAATGAGAACATGCTGGTCTGTGTGAGAATGAGAACATGCTGGTCTGTGTGAGGACATGCTGGTCTGTGTGAGAACATGCTGGTCTGTGTGAGAATGAGGACATGCTGATCTGTGTGAGAATGAGGACATGCTGGTCTGTGTGAGAATGAGGACATGCTGGTCTGTGTGAGAATGAGGACATGCTGGTCTGTGTGAGAATGAGGACATGCTGGTCTGTGTGAGAATGAGGACATGCTGTCTGTGTGAGAATGAGGACATGCTGGTCTGTGTGAGAATGAGGAGCTGATCTGTGTGAGAATGAGGACATGCTGTCTGTGTGAGAATGAGGACATGCTGGTCTGTGTGTGCTGATCTGTGTGAGATGAGGACATGCTGGTCTGTGTGAGAATGAGGACATGCTGGTCTGTGTGAGAATGAGGACATGCTGGTCTGTGTGAGAAATGAATGAGGACATGCTAATCTGTGTGAGGATGAGGACATGCTGGTCTGTGTGAGGATGAGGACATGCTGGTCTGTGTGAGGATGAGGACATGCTGGTCTGTGTGAGAATGAGGACATGCTGGTCTGTGTGAGGATGAGGACATGCTGATCTGTGTGAGAATGAGGACATGCTGATCTGTGTGAGAATGAGGACATGCTGATCTGTGTGAGAATGAGGACATGCTGGTCTGTGTGAGAATGAGGACATGCTGATCTGAGGTCATGCTGGTCTGTGTGAGAATGAGGACATGCTGGTCTGTGTGAGAATGAGGACATGCTGGTCTGTGTGAGAATGAGGACATGCTGGTCTGTGTGAGGACATGAGGACATGCTGCTGTCTGTGTGAGGATGAGGACATGCTGTGAGAATGAGGACATGCTGTCTGTGTGAGGAGGAGGACATGCTGATCTGTGTGAGGATGAGGACATGCTGATCTGTGAGAATGAGGACATGAATCGAGGATGAGGACATGCTGGTCTGTGTGAGAATGAGGACATGCTGATCTGTGTGAGAATGAGGATGCTGGTCTGTGTGAGGATGAGGGATGAGGACATGCTGATCTGTGTGAGAATGAGGACATGCTGATCTGTGTGAGAATGAGGACATGCTGGTCTGTGTGAGGATGAGGACATGCTGATCTGTGTGAGGATGACATGCTGTCTGTGTGAGAATGAGGACATGCTGGTCTGTGTGAGAATGAGGACATGCTGGTCTGTGTGAGAACATGCTGATCTGTGTGAGAATGAGGACATGCTGATCTGTGTGAGAATGAGGACATGCTGGTCTGTGTGAGAATGAGGACATGCTGGTCTGTGTGAGAATGAGGACATGCTGATCTGTGTGAGAATGAGGACATGCTGATCTGTGTGAGAATGAGGACATGCTGGTCTGTGTGAGAATGAGGACATGCTGATCTGTGTGAGGATGAGGACATGCTGGTCTGTGTGAGAATGAGGACATGCTGGTCTGTGTGAGAGGATGATCTAATGCTGTGTGAGGATGAGGACATGCTGGTCTGTGTGAGGATGAGGACATGCTGGTCTGTGTGAGGATGAGGACATGCTGGTCTGTGTGAGAATGAGGACATGCTGATCTGTGTGTGAGGACATGCTGATCTGTGTGATGAGGACATGCTGACATGCTGAGGTCTGTCTGTGTGAGAATGAGGACATGCTGATCTGTGTGAGGAATGAGGACATGCTGGTCTGTGTGAGGATGAGGACATGCTGATCTGTGTGAGAATGAGGACATGCTGATCTGTGTGAGAATGAGGACATGCTGATCTGTGTGAGAATGAGGACATGCTGGTCTGTGTGAGGATGAGGACATGCTGATCTGTGTGAGGATGAGGACATGCTGGTCTGTGTGAGAATGAGGACATGCTGGTCTGTGTGAGGACATGCTAATCTGTGTGAGAATGAGGACATGCTGGTCTGTGTGAGGACATGCTAATCTGTGTGAGGATGAGGACATGCTGGTCTGTGTGAGGATGAGGACATGCTGGTCTGTGTGAGGACATGCTAATCTGTGTGAGGATGAGGACATGCTGGTCTGTGTGAGGACATGCTGGTCTGTGTGAGAATGAGGACATGCTGGTCTGTGTGTGACATGTCTGTGTGAGAATGAGAACATGCTGGTCGTGTGAGAAGGACATGCTGGTCTGTGTGAGAATGAGAGACATGCTGGTCTGTGTGAGAATGAGAACATGCTGGTCTGTGTGAGAATGAGAACATGCTGGTCTGTGTGAGACATGCTGGTCTGTGATGAGACATGAGAAAGAGAACATGCTGCTGTCTGTGTGAGAATGAGAACATGCTGGTCTGTGTGAGAATGAGGACATGCTGGTCTGTGTGAGAATGAGGACATGCTGGTCTGTGTGAGAATGAGGACATGCTGGTCTGTGTGGATGCTGGTCTGTGTGAGAATGAGAACATGCTGGTCTGTGTGAGAATGAGGACATGCTGGTCTGTGTGAGAATGAGAACATGCTAGTCTGTGTGAGAATAAGAACATGCTGGTCTGTGTGAGAATAAGAACATGCTAGTCTGTGTGAGAATAAGAACATGCTGGTTTGTGTGAGGATATGCTGGTCTGTGTGAGAATGAGAACATGCTGGTCTGTGTGAGGATATGCTGGTTTGTGTGAGGATATCCTGGTTTGTGTGAGGATATGCTAGTTTGTGTGAGAATGAAAACATGCTGGTCTGTGTGAGAATGAGGACACGCTAGTCTGTGTGAGGACATGCTGGTCAGTGTGAGGACATGCTGGTCTGTGTGAGAATGAGGACATGCTAGTCTGTGTGGTCTGTGTGAGAGATGAGAGGACATGCTAGTCTGTGTGTGAGAGAACATGCTATGAGGACATGCTAGTCTGTGTGAGAATGAGGACATGCTAGTCTGTGTGAGAATGAGGACATGCTAGTCTCTGTGAGAATGAGGACATGCTAGTCTGTGACATGAGGACATGCTGGTCTGTGTGAGAATGAGGACATGCTAGTCTGTGTGAGGACATGCTGGTCTGTGTGAGAATGAGGGACACGCTAGTCTGTGTGAGGACATGCTAGTCTGTGTGAGAATGAGGACATGCTGTCTGTGTGAGAATGAGGACATGCTAGTCTGTGTGAGAATGAGGACATGCTGTCTGTGTGAGTGAGGACATGCTATGAGGACATGCTAGTCTGTGTGAGAATGAGGACATGCTGATCTGTGTGAGAATGAGGACATGCTGTCTGTGTGAGAATGAGGACATGCTGTCTGTCTGTGTGTGTGAGAATGAGGACATGCTAGTCTGTGTGAGAATGAGAACATGCTGGTCTGTGTGAGAATGAGACATGCTAAGAACATGCTGATCTGTGTGAGAATGAGGACATGCTGGTCTGTGTGAGGACATGCTGATCTGTGTGAGGACATGGTGGTCTGTGTGAGAATGAGGACATGCTGATCTGTGTGAGAATGAGGACATGCTGGTCTGTGTGAGAATGAGGACATGCTAGTCTGTGTGAGAATAAGGACATGCTGATCTGTGTGAGAATGAGAACATGCTGATCTGTGTGAGAATGAGGACATGCTGGTCTGTGTGAGAATGAGGACATGCTGGTCTGTGTGAGAATGAGGACATGCTGATCTGTGTGAGAATGAGGACATGCTGGTCTGTGTGAGAATGAGAACATGCTGGTCTGTGTGAGGACATGCTGGTCTGTGTGAGGACATGCTGATCTGTGTGAGAATGAGGACATGCTGATCTGTGTGAGAATGAGGACATGCTGATCTGTGTGAGAATGAGGACATGCTGATCTGTGTGAGAATGAGGACATGCTGGTCTGTGTGAGAATGAGGACATGCTGGTCTGTGTGAGAATGAGGACATGCTGATCTGTGTGAGAATGAGGACATGCTGATCTGTGTGAGAATGAGGACATGCTGATATGTGTGAGAATGAGGACATGCTGATCTGTGTGAGAATGAAGACATGCTGGTCTGTGTGAGGACATGCTGGTCTGTGTGAGGACATGCTAATCTGTGTGAGAATGAGGACATGCTGGTCTGTGTGAGGATGAGGACATGCTGGTCTGTGTGAGGACATGCTGGTCTGTGTGAGAATGAGGACATGCTGGTCTGTGTGAGGATGAGGATATGCTAGTTTGTGTGAGAATGAAAACATGCTGGTCTGTGTGAGAATGAGGACACGCTAGTCTGTGTGAGGACATGCTGGTCTGTGTGAGGACATGCTGGTCTGTGTGAGAATGAGGACATGCTAGTCTGTGTGTGTGTGAATGAGGACATGCTAGTCTGCTGAGTCTGGTCTGTGTGTGAGGACATGCTAGTCTGTGTGAGAATGAGGACATGCTAGTCTGTGTGAAAATGAGGACATGCTAGTCTGTGTGAGAATGAGGACATGCTAGTCTGTGTGAGAATGAGGACATGCTAGTCTGTGTGAGAATGAGGACATGCTAGTCTGTGTGAGGACATTCTGGTCTGTGTGAGAATGAGGACACGCTAGTCTGTGTGAGAATGAGGACATGCTAGTCTGTATAAGAATGAGGACATGCTAGTCTGTGTGAGAATGAGGACATGCTAGTCTGTGTGAGAATGAGGACATGCTGGTCTGTGTGAGAATGAGGACATGCTAGTCTGTGTGAGAATGAGGACATGCTAGTCTGTGTGAGAATGAGGACACGCTAGTCTGTGTGAGGACATGCTGGTCTGTGTGAGAATGAGGACACGCTAGTCTGTGTGAGGACATGCTGGTCTGTGTGAGAATGAGGACATGCTGGTCTGTGTGAGGACATGCTGGTCTGTGTGAGAATGAGGACACGCTAGTCTGTGTGAGAATGAGAACATGCTGGTCTGTGTGACAATGAGAACATGCTGATCTGTGTGAGAATAAGAACATGCTGATCTGTGTGAGAATGAGGACATGCTGGTCTGTGTGAGGACATGCTGATCTGTGTGAGGACATGCTGATCTGTGTGAGAATGAGAACATGCTGGTCTATGTGAGAATGAGGACATGCTGGTCTGTGTGAGAATGAGAACATGATGGTCTGTGTGAGAATGAGAACATGCTAGTCTGTGTGAGAATAAAAACATGCTGGTCTGTGTGAGAATGAGGACATGCTGGTCTGTGTGAGAATAACGACATGCTGGTCTGTGTGAGAATGAGAACATGCTGGTCTGTGTGAGAATTAAGACATGCTAGTCTGTGTGAGATTGAGAACATGCTGGTCTGTGTGAGAATGAGGACATGCTGGTCTGTGTGAGAACATGCTGGTCTGTGTGAGAATGAGGACATGCTGGTCTGTGTGAGAATGAGAACATGCTGGTCTGTGTGAGAATGAGAACATGCTAGTCTGTGTGAGAATGAGAACATGCTGGTCTATGTGAGAATGAGGACATGCTGGTCTGTGTGAGAATGAGAACATGCTGGTCTGTGTGAGAATGAGAACATGGTGGTCTGTGTGAGAATGAGGACATGCTGGTCTGTGTGAGAATGAGGACATGCTGGTCTGTGTGAGAATGAGATCTGAAATGTTATTGGGAAAAGGGGTGTGGGTCTCTAATTCCAAACAATATCATTTCCTCCTCCTCCCTTTCCATTCTATCAGGCACTTAACTCTGGGCAGGAAATTAATGATGAGGAAAACATGCTTTTGTATTTAGGGAGTTTAGTACTAGCCAGTATATAAATGATTTTATAAAACCCTCTCAATAAGTGAGAAGAGTTGGAAGAGTGATCTACCAGTGTAAAGCCATACAAGGGACAGACAGCATTTGAGAGCCAGAAACAAGTGAGTTTTTTCTTCTTCTTCTTCTTTTGGTTTGTCCAAGTAACCTAACTGTGTTGTATCTGTTTACAGCAAAGCCAGGATAAATGCATTTTTTTTACTGACACATCTGACTTCTTCGGGCATTTGCTTACTAGCTTAGCCTTCCTGGTCGGTTTCGTGGGATATATCATTGCCATATTTGTGTGGTGTTCTATTTGACTATTTATGGTTTTTGTCTCTGAGAACCCATGGACAGCAACACATGACATTGCCATATTTGTGTGGTGTTCTATTTGACTATTTATGGTCATTGTCTCTGAGAACCCATGGACAGCAACACATGACATTGCCATATTTGTGTGGTGTTCTATTTGACTATTTATGGTTTTTGTCTCTGAGAACCCATGGACAGCAACACATGACATTGCCATATTTGTGTGGTGTTCTATTTGACTATTTATGGTTTTTGTCTCTGAGAACCCATGGACAGCAACACATGACATTGCCATATTTGTGTGTTGTTCTATTTGACTATTTATGGTTTTTGTCTCTGAGAACCCATGGACAGCAACACATGACATTGCCATATTTGTGTGGTGTTCTATTTGACTATTTATGGTTTTTGTCTCTGAGAACCCATGGACAGCAACACATGACATTGCCATATTTGTGTGGTGTTCTATTTGACTATTTATGGTTTTTGTCTCTGAGAACCCATGGACAGCAACACATGACATTGCCATATTTGTGTGTTGTTCTATTTGACTATTTATGAATATTGTCTCTGAGAACCCATGGACAGCAACACATGACATTGCCATATTTGTGTGTTGTTCTATTTGACTATTTATGAATATTGTCTCTGAGAACCCATGGACAGCAACACATGACATTGCCATATTTGTGTGTTGTTCTATTTGACTATTTATGAATATTGTCTCTGAGAACCCATGGACAGCAACACATGACATTGCCATATTTGTGTGGTGTTCTATTTGACTATTTATGAATATTGTCTCTGAGAACCCATGGACAGCAACACATGACATTGCCATATTTGTGTGGTGCTCTATTTGACTATTTATGAATATTGTCTCTGAGAACCCATGGACAGCAACAATGTCTAGCCTGGTCAGCCCTTAGCGGAAGGCAGATCATGGGCATTCCCCAACATCCAAGGAGGCTTCCATAAATGCAGAACTGACATATGAGGGGCAGATCATGGGCATTCCCTAACATCCAAGGAGGCTTCCATAAATGCAGAACTGACATATGAGGCACTGGTACTTGGCTCACCAAAAGAACCACTTTGCAGATTGTAGATATGTTAACTGTTTTTGAATATTTTAGGTTCAGATAGTATTTCTTTGTGAAATGCATTTTGCTAACAAATAATTAGGAAATCAGGAAGCAAATCTGACACTTAAACAATGACTATATGATAAATACTTTCACTGGCCATTTTCTAAGCTAATCAGACAATAGGGGACAGCACATTTTCTTTGGCATTCATATATTTGTAAGATAAAGTCTGTAGAGAAATGTTACTGAAACCTTTACAGATTCTAGTACTGAATTAATGCTCAGATAAACAGTTATAAACCAATAAATGACAACGTGATAACACATGAACATGTAAGAATGGAATGAGTAATTACAATGAAACTAACAAGAATACACATAACTGCTGATTTGAACAGGCAGTAAGTTTAATATAAGAAGTTGCACAATTAATGAGGTTAGTTTTTTTTATTTTATTTTTGGTTTTTTTTTAAGGATTGTCTGTTAAATTGTTGTGAAAAGTGACCACGGAGGTGTCTGCTGACAGTCTAGTTGTGGTAACACAATGACTTGTGAAATCAATGATTTGGCAGTTCAGTTGTCAGTAGTGGAACAAAACTGTGAGACACTGAGTTGGTAAACCCTCCCTAACATCCAAGGAGGCTTCCATAAATGCAGAACTGACATATGAGGCACTGGTACTTGGCTCACCAAAAGAACCACTTTGCAGATTGTAGATATGTTAACTGTTTTTGAATATTTTAGGTTCAGATAGTATTTCTTTGTGAAATGCATTTTGCTAACAAATAATTAGGAAATCAGGAAGCAAATCTGACACTTAAACAATGACTATATGATAAATACTTTCACTGGCCATTTTCTAAGCTAATCAGACAATAGGGGACAGCACATTTTCTTTGGCATTCATATATTTGTAAGATAAAGTCTGTAGAGAAATGTTACTGAAACCTTTACAGATTCTAGTACTGAATTAATGCTCAGATAAACAGTTATAAACCAATAAATGACAACGTGATAACACATGAACATGTAAGAATGGAATGAGTAATTACAATGAAACTAACAAGAATACACATAACTGCTGATTTGAACAGGCAGTAAGTTTAATATAAGAAGTTGCACAATTAATGAGGTTAGTTTTTTTTATTTTATTTTTGGTTTTTTTTTAAGGATTGTCTGTTAAATTGTTGTGAAAAGTGACCACGGAGGTGTCTGCTGACAGTCTAGCTGTGGTAACACAATGACTTGTGAAATCAATGATTTGGCAGTTCAGTTGTCAGTAGTGGAACAAAACTGTGAGACACTGAGTTGGTAAACCCTCAAAAGTGGGAAAAAACTTGTGCCCAAATGGTTCAGCTCTGTCTGACAGAGAGAAATGTCTCGGTGTTCATGGACATAGCCAGTGAGACACTGAGCTGGTAAACTCTGAGTAGTAGAACAAACTTGTGCCCAAATGGTTCAGCTCTGTCTGACAGAGAAAAATGTCTGAAGAGATATCAATCTTAATATACACAGAAAACCTTAAATTCTTTAAGTGTTATTTTGTAAATTATTACAGTGGTTAACTTGTCACTGCTGCATTTTTCTTCTTAACATTAACACTGTGTAGTCAATAAACACAATATAAGGACTGGTAAACTTGATGTTCAAACACAATCTATGTACTATGTTAACATCAAATAAGGATCCTGGTACAACAAACACAGAATTATGCTGGTAGAACAGCCCCCCCCCCCCCCCCCCCCCCCCCCATAAACAAGTTGATGGAGAAAAAATGACTCAGGTTAGTGAACACAAAAATTAAATGGGAGAAATTCAAGAAAGGCAAAGAAAGAGAAAGGTCTGGACAACCACTTGTATTATCGGTTATAAGAGAATGAAGATGGGGATATGTTAGGCCCATCCTGATGAAGAGCAAAAAGA